GGGGGGGAGGAGTGTCACACCACCGTGTATGGGGGGGATGCTGCATACCGACCACCACATTCTTAACCTCAACATGGACCCCACCCCATCCACCCTGTCATCTGGACACGGACACCCACACCCCGCTCCTATGTCCCACTTCATCTACATACTGAACCCGGACCCTCTCAACCCAGACACGGACAACCCTTTGCAGCCATCCACAGCTGGCCTCACCCCCTCCAGCTCATTCCTCTGATACCCACACGGTGACACCCCCCTCACCAAGACATTGACCTCACTCCCTCCAGTCTATCACTGGGACACTGATACCCCCCACCCCCCAACATTCACTGCCACTCCCTTCTCTTAGTCACCCAAACACTGACCCCTCCACGTTGTCACCCAGGGGTTTACCCAATCAGAGGACAGATCCCCCCTCCACCCCGTCACTCGGACACTGGCCTCCGATCCCTCCAACCCAAACCTGGACCCCATCTCCTCTACTCCTCGAGTCAGCAAGCAAGCCAGGCCATGAGGAACCACTGGCTGCTGCCCCTCCCCTCTGCGGCCTTCAGGGAAGGACCCAGACCCCGCACCTCGCACACTGGCTCTACCTCCAAGCTGTCTGAGCCAATAGCGCTCCCCGTCGCCTTACCCCACCCCAGCCCCAGCGCAGTCCCACCTCGGTCTCCGCAGTGAAGGCCTATAAATAGCCAGAGCCGCATCAGCGTGGGCCGCGAGAGCTCTGCTGCGGCAAGGCTGGGTGGGAGCCTGGGCTGCCCCTCCAGCGGCCCACCCTGCGCGGCACGCACACCGCACCGCGGAGCTGCCGAAGGGCACCCACACCCGCGCGTGCACGCCCCTCAGCTCCCGGGCCCCACAAGCGCTGCCGTGCAGGAGGTGAATGGGGCTCTGTCCCGGCGGGGCCGGGCTGGCGCGGGGGCACAATGTGGGCTCTGTGCCTCCGCCCCTAGGCTAAGGGCTGGGGAGGAGACGGCGGGCACCGAGCTGGGGGCCACCCTGCCCCGCCCCCTACAGCCCGTCCGCAAGGCGCCTCCGCTCCAGCACCCCACCGCCAGCCGCACCACCCCAGCCGCCTTTCCTGCCCACACCCCGGGCACCGCCCGTCCAGTTCCGCAGTCTCCGCGCGCGGAGGTGGCGTCCTCCCGAGGGAGGATGGGCAGCGACGCAGCCTCTGGTTCCGCGATGCCTGCGAAGCGAGAGCCCCTACCCCACCCCGCGGCTCCCGCCCGCCGCGCGCCTCTCTGTCCCGGCCCCGGTCTTACGTGCCCGGTGGCTCAGCTCCGCTGGGCTCGGCCAGTGCGGCCGGACGGCTGCTGCCGGGAGAGCTGCGCAGGCTGCGCGGGCGGGGCGAGTCCGGAGCCCCGCCCCGGCCGCGAACCGAGCGCCGCCCGTGCGGCCCCTGCGTCCGAGTGCGCGCGGGGCCTGAGCACGAGCGCGGCTTCTCCCGGGTACCGTCCCCCGCGCGCACCCCCACCGCCCGGCACGGCCCCCTCCCCGCGCGCAGAGGGCGGGGCGGTCGGCAAGGAGACGTCGTTAGGGGAGTGGAGCGTGCGTGACACTAAGGCGACGCGGGATCGCTCGGGTGCGCGCCGGGTCCGGCCTCTGCCGACTCTGCGCCCCGGCCCCCGCCCCTAGCCACCTCCCCAAACAGGTCGGACCCGAAGCTCGCAGGTACCCCCGCCTGGTTTCACGTACACATTTATTCAAACAACACGGTCGCGCTCGGGCGAGGGCCGGCCCCCCTCCTCCTGGGCTCTGCTGACCCCTGGTGGTTGGGCCGGCCCGGGGGTAGGGGGGGCGGGGAACCCTGCCCAAGCCCTCCTCGTCCGGCCGCCCCTATGGGCACCACTGCACGAGGCAGGGGCGCCCCCGGGGGCAGCTCGGGCGGGGGAGGGGGCGGTGGGGCTGTGCGGAGCGGGGAGCCTGGGGAGCAGGAGGCCAGCGGCTGGGCCGAGGGGGCGGGGCCTCTAGGGTTAGGTGGCTGGGGAGTTGCTCAAGAGCTCAGGGGCGTCTCCAGGGGGAGACCAGGACATGTGCTTGCAAGTGATGAGGTGAGTGGGCAGCGCCTGGGTGTCGTGAAAGATGACGAAGATGCTGGGCCGGGGGAGGCAGTCCACCGCGCTGTCGTAGCGCAGGAGCGCGTGGCCGGGGGGCCGCGGTGGTGGTGCCCGCAGCCCGCGGCGGCCCTGCCCATAGTCGCCGGTCAGCACCCGCGCCACGAACACCGCCTTGTGACCCTCGGAGTCGGGGGGCGAGTAGCGGTCCAGCACCGACAGGGAAGCGCGCTTGGCGAAGTACACGCCCTGTCCGTAGAGCGCGCCTGCGCGGGGAGGCGCGGGGGTCAGGGTGGTTACGGTGGGCAGAGACCGCGCCCCTTCAGGGACCCAGGCCTCACCGTTGCGGCCGCAAAAGCTGCGGTTGAAGCCGTGCGCGCAGATGTCCGGGACGGTGGCCACCGACGTGCCGTGGTACAGGACCTGCTCGGCCGGCCGCCGGTCACAGCACTGCTCCAGGCGCTCCCGGTGCAGTTCGTACTGCTGCTGCAGCAGCGGGTGCAGCACACGCTCCACCTGCGGGCGGCCTTGGTCAGAACCAGGCTATTGTATCCCCTGGGCCACAGGGCACAGGGCTGAGCCCGGAAATCGAGCCCTCTCCTGGAGGAGTTCAGGGCCTGGGGAGACCTCACAGCTCCTGTCACTCTCTGCCCAGTAGCAGACATTAGGCGGACGTTCGCCACCTCCACGGAGCCCCAGGTGGCATTGGAGGGCTTCCAGGGGGGTCTGCGGGTAGGCAACCCATCCACTCACCAGAACCCTGCACCCACAGCCAGGCCTCTGCAGAGAAAAGCTGAGCCCCCCACCTGCATTGCCCGCAGGACTTCACTCCCAACGCCATGAGATGCCCCGGACCTCTCAGTGATGGGAGACCAAGGTGACCAACCCAGTAGCCAACCGAAGAGGAGCCAACTCAGGGACCCAAAAAGTTTCTAAAGAAATTCTAACTAGTCACTTCAGAGGGATGCAAATGAATATTATATCCATGAAACAAGATGACCTACTGTGAAAAAGAAACAGTCTGAAAATTAGAGAGTTCTTACATTAAGAATGGAATTGCTGGGCTTCCCTGGTGGCGCACTGGTTGAGAGTCCACCTGCTGATGCAGGGGACGCGGGTTCGTGCCCCGGTCCGGGAAGATCCCACATGCCACGGAGTGGCTTGGCCCGTGAGCCATGGCGTCCGGAGCCTGTGCTCCGCAATGGGAGAGGCCACAACAGTGAGAGGCCTGCGTATCGCAAAAAAAAAAAAAAAAAAAAAAAAAAAAGAATGGAATCGCTGAACTGCATCCAGTGGGTGTGGATAATAATATGATGAAGATGGAGTTCAGGAAGTGACTCAGTGCAGAGCTAAAGAAAAGAGTTGGGAACTGTGAGAGAACAGATGAGGGAGTGGGGAGGAGCTCTATGATCTGAGTCATAGGAGCTCCATAAGAAGACACCCAACAGGTGATGGGAGCAAGTGAGGACTTAACGGAAGACAGTTTGCCTGAGCTGAAGGGAGCATCTTCAGATGGAAAGGATCTTGCCATAAAATGCCAAAGACAATGTGGAAAGGCACCTACCTGCTGGGAAAACTTCAACCTTCAAAGTGAAAGAAGTCTACAAGCGTCCAGATGCACGCGTGCACACACACACACACACCCCAAAGTCGACATATAGACATGGAAAAAAACCTCACGTTTTCATATTGGGGTCCTCACCAGCAAGACTGGATGCTAAGAGACCATAGAAGGATTTTTTTCTTGCCTTTCCAAGAACAAGAAATTTTAAGGAGGAAACAAAAAGTTAAGTCTCTCAAAAGATCTGAAGGAAAACATATTTTGATCTTGAACCCTATATCCAGCCAAACTATTAATGGTGAGGACAAAATAAGGACAGATTAAGGTATGCAAGAACCAGCTGTGCTTAAGTTAACAGAAATGTCTTAATAAACACATAGCATCTTTTGTTTGAAAAAAATACCAATATCAAACTATAGTTGCAAATTACTTCTAATTGCAAAAGGCAAAATACATTTAAAAGTCCAAAATGTTGACTACTCACTCAAGGAGATACTTTCACTACACAGAAAAGGAATCTATGCAAGAAGGTGACAGGGTCACCAAGAGTAAGCCAGCAGCCAAGCACCACAGAGAAAAACGAAGAAAGTAAACAAAATCAAGAGACATTAGTTGGGCTTCCCTGGTGGCACAGTGGTTAAGAATCTGCCTGCCAGTGCAGGGGACACGGGTTCAAGCCCTGGTCCGGGAAGATCCCACATACCGCGGAGCAACTAAGCCCATGCGCCACAGCTACTGAGCCTACGCTCTAGAGCCTGTGAGCCACAACTACTGAAGCCCACATGCCACAACTACTGAAGCCTGCAGGCCTAGAGCCTGTGCTCCGCAACAAGAGAAGCCACCGTGATGAAAAGCCCATGCACTGCAACGAAGAGTAGCCCCAGCTCGCTGCAACTAGAGAAAGCCCACGCGCACAGCAACGAAGACCCAACGCAGCCTATAAAATAAATAAATAAAATAAGTCTATTATAAAAATAAAAGAGCCATTAGTCCCTGAATCCTAGAATATTCTCTTTCATGCAACATGGTTTAAATAACTAGGTTTTTCATTTCCCCCTTTCCTCTCTGGTCCAGTGGTAAATATTTTTTCATTGTCATTATATATCGATCAACCTATGGCCCAAGTATGGAGCTTCATGCTTGGAATAGAAGCATGCCATGCAGAATAGAAGATGACGTTTGTCAACCTTGCCAACTTAAAAATAACGTCACTGGCCAAACTGTGAGATGGAAGAGGGAGGAGGAGGTGAAAGGGGGGAAGGGAAGCCCATTCTCCTGATCTTCCGTGCAGGGAGGCAAGAAACAGTCTCTAAAATCGTTAAGTGGAAAAAAGACTCAAGTGTACCACGTAAAGTCACAAAGGTCCTGCTAGAAGAATCAAGCGCACGTGACTAACAGAGCCTCGGGAGGAGCACGGGGCATGAGAGCAGGGCGTCCTCCTCTCTCCAAGTGCAGAAGTGACAGCTGCTAAGTCCACCCAGAGTTACAGTGGTCATCCCCAGGAAAGCGGTGGTGGTGCTGCTGGTGGCAGACCAGGCCCGGTCTGGGAAAGGCGTGAGGGTCTGCGTATCTGAACAGATCCGGGGTGCCATTGCTGCTCACCGCCCCCTGCCCCCAGGCCCACCCACCCACAAGTTGGTGCGTCAAGAGGGCCACCTGGCTTCCCCCGCACCGTGAGCCCAGCTCTCCACCGCCCCGGGATTCCTTCCCCTGAGCTGGAAGCACTCAGCCCTGCACTCTCTTCCAGCTCCTCTCTGCCCCCTCGCTTCCGCAGCCCGCTCATTGCAGCCGGGCCCAGCTCTCACCTCCCAGCCGCTGTCCACCCCTGCCTGGCGCACAGCCCCTCCTCAGTCCTTCCTCTGGCCCTCGCTGCCTCCAGCACCCCACCTCCGAGCCCCTCCTTCTCAGCCTCTGCTTCCCACCTGCCTGGGTGGCCAGGGCTCACTGGGGCTCCCAGAGCTTCATTCAGGTCCCCCACCCGTGGTGCCCAGCCCTTTCCGCAACCCAACCGTGCTCAGAGTTGCCACGTTCAACAAGTGAAAATGTAGGAGGAGGCTGCCTCGCTGCAGCCAGCCCTCTTCCTGCTGGAGCAGACCCCTTGGGAGGCAGACGGGCCCCAGAACAGCACCCGGAACAACTGGTGGAATGAGTCATCCTCACAGTAGCCACGAGATGGCATCACCACCCCGTGTTCTAGAGGAAGAAACTGTGGCCGGCATCGGGCTGTAACCGGCGAAGTGGGGACCCCACTTCAAGTGCTTGGGACCCCCTAAGCTCTACAGCCTTCTGTCTCCCTGGCTGCACATTCGTGAACACCCTTCGGGCAGGGAACAGGGCTGCGGAGCCCTGGTGCTCCCCTGCCCCCAACAGCTTTCAGCCTGCTGGGCAGCTTCTGGCCAGCCGATCCTGACGTAGGCAAGAGTGATAGCCCACGGGCTCTGCAAGGCAAAGATGGTGCCAGGAGCCCAGGAGGCCAGAGGCTGGCAAGGCAGGGCGTGGACTCACCTGGACAACACGGATCCTGCCGTGGGCAGCGTCCAGTGTGTCGTAGAAGGCCTGCACTACCGTATGGAACTCAGTGCTGCTCCTGGCCACACACTCCAGCCTGCCCAAGGGCTCCCTCGGCCTCTGCTGTGGCACTGACACACAGGGAGAAAGGGGGTGCAGGCCATGCCTGGGGCACCGGTCCACCCTGCCCTCCCCCGTGCGGGCTGCAGACTCACGAGCGGGGCCCGAAGCCGCCAAGGCAAAGGCCAAGCTCTGATCCCGGGGGCCAGCCCACAGCGCTGCTAAGTGGCGGGCCGCACGGGTGGGCTGGGTCCCAAAGCCACGGAGGACGGTGCGGTCACCACGAAGGGCAACGCTCACGCCGTGGCGCCGCTCCAGGTGGGTGCACAGCTCCACGGGCAGCACGCAGCCCTGGGGCCCCACCGTCTCCTCCCGGAGGTGCACCTCCAAGGCCGCCTCTAGGGCCCGGCCCAGCTCATCCATATCCTGCTCAAAGGCCGCGTGCACCTCCAGCTGGGCGCAGCCATCAGGCCCCCCACCCCGGGGCTCCGGTTCTGCCTCCAGCAGGGAGAGGGCCAGGGCCCGCTGCAGCGCCACAGCCTCCTCCCACTCGGCCACCTGGCCTTGTGGCTCCAGTGAGCGGCAGAGAGCCAGCTGCAGCTCGGCCTCCTCCTGCAGCCGCCCAGGCGCCCTGGTGCTGGGCTCCACGGGCCCCTCCCCAGCCCTGGGAGTCTTCTCTTCATCCGGCTGCCCCTCGGGCTCCTCCTCCCCCCGCTCCAGTGGCAGCCAGTCTTCCCCGTCCAGGCCCTCCAGGGCGGCCAGCAGCTCTCGGACCTCCTCTGGGGACAGAGAGAGGCACCGGGTCAGGGGTCAAGTCCAGCCAGGATGGGGCTGAAGGAGAGGACTAGTCAGGGGCCGGGTGGGAGATGGAGACAGGGTTAGAGGGTATACGGTCATAGGGCAGAGCAGCAGAGGGTGAGGTCAAGAAAGGGCCGCAGGATGTGCCAGGGTCCCCAGGGAGCCCTACCTAGGTTCACATTCTCCTGGTCACCGTCTGTATTGTCTGGAGGCCACAGGGTGTGGGAGTGGCCAGGGAGCGCCTGTAGGGCCTCAGTGGGGTCCACCTGTTGGGAAAGAATGCCAGTACCCCCCAGACACATACCCCTCCCAGGCCTCTGAGCAAGGGTGGAGGAGGTTCGGGGGTGCTGAGGAGTGAAAAAGGGGAGGGAGGGGAGGGGGAGGGGAGGGGAGGGGGAGGAAGAAGAAGAAGAAAGAAGAAGAAGAAGAACTGTTTTAGCTCTTGGAAAAATATAATAGTGAATTGGCATCTCAAGTTTAGTGATTAGGCATCTCATGCATATTTGACTGTGCCATCAAATTTATTCTATACTGGAACCTGGCGCTGCCTGGGTGCTTCAGGCTCAGCACATGACAGCTAACGCTGCCCAGCAGACTTTGCAGAAACTCCTCGGCTGCCTGGCATGGGGCCAGGGCTCCGCAGAGCTGCAGGACCACGGGGCGGGGTTAGGAGGAGCAGTTGGCACGTTTGGGGCACAGGAGAGGCACCCAGAGCCCCCAGTAATAGAGGTGAGGAATCCTCAGGGGTCGCTTACCCGAAATCCAGTCATATCTGATCCCTCGAGTGGGAAGAGGGCGACGTCTCCCAGGCCAGCAAGAAGGTCCTCGTGATAGAGTTGAATGAAGCGCATTGCTCCCAGCTCCATCGGCAGCACTGTCTCCACCAGGCCCTCCTGCCCTGGTGACCCCACAGGGCCCAGGCTCATTGACACCACCTGCTCCAGAGACTCCATGGCAATCTCCACTGGGCCTGGAGACCCCATAGGCCCCGGGCTCACCAGCCCCTCCTGTTCTGAAGGCCCCACAGGCCCGGAGCTAACTGGCCTGCCCTGTCCCAGAGAGGACCTGTCCCAGAGAGGCCCTCTCCTCAGCGAGGCTCCTGTTTGCCTCGGTGCCTCCTCAGAGCCCAATGTCACATGCCCTGCACAATTCTGTGCCGTTGCTGGCCCTTCAGCCTCCAGGAGAGCATGCTCGGGGGCCCCAGGCCCCAACTCGGCCAAGCGGTTCGCTCCACTCGTGTGCTCGCTGAGCTCCTCGGGCTCCAGGACATCGTAATGGGGGACAAGGCTCAGCTCTGAACCCTGCAGCTGGTGGGCCCGCTGCAGCACCCGTTCGGCCACTTGGAGGAAGGGAAAGGACAGAAGTCGTCAGGGCTCCAAGGTATAGGGAGGGTGGGCCACCCTGTCCAGCCCCACTCACCCTGCCACTGCTGGAAGGAAGCGATGGTGCCCAGGTGCCCTGGCAGGCTGCGCACACTCTCCAGGGGCCCCCCGCCACTGCGGCGCTCATTCTCCAGGTACAGCTCCAGCAGCAGCAGGTCAGCAGGGGGGTTGCCCCCCACGACACGCACCGCCCGGGCCTGAGGCACCCAGGCCAGGGAGACCTCAGCCCCCTCCAGGCTCAGGGCCTGGGCGTGCTCCTCCAGGACACGGGCTTCTGTGGGGAGGGTGCAAGTCAGCTCGGGGCATCTCCCCTGAAAGGCACGTCTGCCCCAATCCCACCTCTCACCTGCCTCTGAAAGGGGCCTGGGCAGCTGCACCAGGGCCCGGTCTGGTCGGGGACTGGCCAGAGCACGGCACGGCTGCACTGGCTGCCCTGCGGCACAAAGCAGGGCTTGGACATACTGCTCCAGGCGCTGGGGTCCCGTGCCAGCAGACAGTCCTTGGAGTAGTAGGCGCGAAGGGGCGCGTGGTGGGGCTGCCCGCAGGCTCAGCCGAGCGCCGTGCAGAGTGTGCTCCTCCTGGGCCAAGACCCTTGCTGCATCTGCAGGCAGGGGGAGGAGGTGTCAGGGCCAGCGCCGATGGGGGCCCAGGCTGCCCCTTTGCATGGGTCCACTCACCTGCAGCCTCCTGGAAGGTGAGGATGCCCCCGCGGCCAAGTCTCTGCCAACTCGACACAGGTCCACCCCCAGAGGTTCGACGGTTCTCGAAATAGAGTGTGAGCAGCTCGTCTGGGACGTCGGGGGGCAGGCCTCTGAGTTCCACGGCTGCCCCCAGCCCCGCCTCTTCCTCACCCACCATCACAGCCTGGGCCGAAGGAGCAGCCCACAGCCCCGCCTCACCCCTCGCAGGCCCCTGAGCAGCGTTCCCTGGCACCCCCCTCACTGTGGGGCTGGCCCACATCCCGCACTCACTCTCCCCCAGCTGCCTGGGCCGCCGCAGCCTAGGCTTTCAGCCCGACTCCTTCCCCTTTGCCCTAAAGCCAAAGGGCTGGGACAAGAAAACAAAAGTGAAACCGTCGGAGGGAGGGAGGGCCCCACAGTGCCGGGAGAGCGGCTGCCTCTCGGGTGATTCCCTTCTCAGGCCCCTCCTGCAGAACCTTCCAGCCCCGCCCCCAGCTCCTCAGCCCTCTGCCCAGCCCACCCGCCCCGCCCCACCTGTCTGACCTCAGCCCAGTGGCTGGCAGGGTGGGGGGCATGTAGGCTCGCGGTCCTCCACTCCCATGGGCCCGGCCCTGTGAACCTCAGTATGGCCAGTCGCCCTCCCTGGTAAATCCACACGGGGGGCTCGAATCATCGCCCTCCACGCAAGACCTCAAGCCTCCGTGTTACCCTCCCCCACTGCACGAGCACCTTGAGGCTCTGGCAGGCCTGGCTAAGGCTGGCTTTCAACTCTCCCCAGCAAGCTGGGCGACGGCACCCGCACTCACCCTTAAACAACACACAGGGGACCGACCTCCCACCCCGCGAGGGTGGGTCGGCAGCTCCCACTCCTGATCTACGAGAGCCTCCTCCCCGCCTCCCCAGCCTACGCTGTCCTCGGAGGTGGCGGCGGCACCAAGGCTGACCCCAGAAGGGGCTGATGCTGTGCTCACGGGCCTTGCTGCAGCACATCCCCGTGACAGAGGGGACGTGGAGCCTCCTGCTCCGCTGCACCTTTACAATTCACAATCCCTCTTGCTGCCGCCGAGTACCCGCGTGCCTGTGCTCCATTGGCTTCCACTCTCCCGAGAGCTGTGCCCCCCGCTGCTCTCAGTCTCGCACGTCCCACTCATCCCTCAGCCCCCAAAACCCAGCCTCCGGCCCTGCTACTTCTCCAAGGAATTGAGGACCTGTCCAGTCCGTGTCCCGAGCGGCACACCCAGCACCCTGATCTGAGCCTCCATCATCTCTTGCCTGGATCACTACTCTGACCTCTTAACTGATCTCTCTCTGCCACTCCTGCCCACTCGCACTGTCCCTCCTCAACAGAGGGCAGCGGTGAGCCTTATAAGTGGCACCAACAGCTGCTACAGCTGGGTCCACAGTAAAGCCAAAGTCCTTTGGAGGACCTGCCAGGCTGGACTGACCAGGCCCCAGTCCCTTCTGCCGCATCCCCCCTGCATCCCCCATCCTCCGTCATCCAGTGCAGCGGATGCCCTCCCCGATGCCCTTGCACTGGCCCGTCCCTCTTCTCAGACCAGCCTCTCCTACAGAGCCACCTGGCCACCCCTCCCCCTGATTCACCTTACCAGGTTCTTGGTGGCAGATTCAAGTTGAACCTAAAATTCTTCAAGGAACTGTGACTTGCATGGGCCCCTCCTAGGGCCCTGGCCTCAACCTCACATTTGTCATTTTTAATTATTTTTCTTAAAAAAGACCCCTCAAATTGTATGAGCTTATAGTTCTACAAAACCTGAAGTCATCCCTACCTGCTCTATATTTTCTCCTCTCATGGAACTCATCATCTTCTAACATACTGGATAATTTACTTATTACACCAATCCCTGCTACCACAGGCAGCAGTGTGCTGGAGCAACTCACATCATGACTACATTGTTCAATTTTCAGGAGTCTTTGTGAATCAGTTGTTAAACTGGTGGTCGCTTGAAGTCAGCCACGATGGGGTATTTATATGAAGGACAAGTGCAAAGGTACAGATCAGGGTTTCCCCTCCCTGGGGCCCGCCGTTCAACGATGAACCAGCACACCAGCTGCACAGGACAGAGCCTCTTCCCAATCACTGCTGGGCCTGGGAGAGGCCACTGTCCAAAAGGCCGGAAAGTACAGTAAGATTCCTAGGCCCCAGGTGGACAGGCACTCCTGCAGAGGGCTCCAGGAGACCTCGTGGCAGGGATGTCCCTGGAGGTGGCAGGCAGCACTTCCTCAGGACCGCTGAAGCCGAGGGAATTTAACTGGGCCTCCAGTCCTGGGGCATCTCTAAGCCTCAGCCCCTTAGCAGCGAAACAGGGCTAAGAATGCCACCCTTACAGCTTGTGGTACTGTGATGAAGACAAGTAAGGATAACTGGTCCAGTAGGGGCCTGGACTAGTTTCCTGGAGAGGACAAAGCATTTAAACAATTAGGCCTCTTGATTTGGAATAGACTTGGATGAAAGGGGAAGCGGAGTTTTAAGGCCAAGGAGGGATGGAGAGTGCTTGTCAGACTTAGCAAATCCCAGATTTAGGAATACATTTCTCAAAATTCCCTGACCCAAATTGGAGAGGCTAGGTCTCAGCCTCCAGAGGTCTACAGCCCTCACGGCCCACGGCCACCCCTCGGCAGACAGGACAGGACGCGGGTCTCTGGCCTGGGGCTCGGAAAGAAGCCAGCAGGGAAACCCAGTCGGGTAGGGTCCATCCGGGAGAAGCCCCCGCGTTCCCCACGGAGCCCAGCCCACGGCCCCGCCCCCGCGCCGCCGGCCCCGCCCCGTCACAAGGCCCCGCTGCGTCTCCCGAGCCGCAGGCGCAGGCCCAGCCCAGCCGGCCGCGGAGCGGGTGCGGGTGCGGGCGCGGGCACAGCGGCCGTCGACCGCGCGGCCGCGCAGCGGACACCGGGCGCACAGGCCTGAGGCGACTCGCGCGACTGGTGAGTCCCCGGCCCTAGCCCAGCAGCGTGTCTACTCGCTCAGCCGGCCAGCCACTGCCGCCCCCGCGCGGGCCCTGCGCAGCAGACAGGCGTTGCGGTGGGTCAGTCGGTTGGTCCCGCCGGGCGCGCGGCCAGCGGTGGCCGGGGGGCGGTGGCGGCGGGGCCGGGGAGCCGGAGGGCCCAGGGCGAGCGGGGGCGGCGCACTGCGGCTACAGCCGGACGGGCGGTCCGAGCGCTCCCCGAACGGGCAGGAGGGCCCAGCCCGCCCTCGGTGCGGGTTCCGTGGCCGCCGCCACCACCCGCCTCGCCCCCACGTCCGCTTTGTTCCCCCGCACGCCCTCTGGTCGCTTCCATCCCCCACCCCCCATCCCCCCGCAACCCGCTGTTCCTGGCGTACCCCGCTGGCAGGCACCCCGGCAGCCGATCCAGGCCTGCTGCCCCCACCCCGGGAGCGAGGGACGCTAGGGCCCTGCTCTTGGAGGCGGGGGTGGGGTGGGGGGCGGTCAGGTTCTGGCTGGTCACAGATGGCGTGGGGATTTCCTGGGATAGAAATAGCCGCTGGCTCTGGCCCCTTAAAGCTGCTTACGGGGCGGGATGTGAAGGGGAGGGTCCGGGCACACCCCCGCACCTCCCCGACCGCGCCCCCAGCCCCGACCCGCGCTGAGCTCTGACCCGGAGAGGCCAGCAGCGGTGAGACGGCCCCTCCAGTTGCTTGCAAGAAACAGCAGAAGCCCAAAATCCTGAGGCTGCCAAAGTCATCCCCTCGTCCATCCCCCCCTCCATCTTTGGGGTCGGCCTGTAGCGGCCCCTCCTGAAGCCACACGCCCAGCCACCCGATACCCACCCGCCTCTCCTGGCCCCCCAGCTCGGGCTCCGGACAGCCCTGGGGCAAAGGTCACGAAACCCCTTCCTTCCGTCCCATTTCCCGGTAGCAGGTGGAGAGGCCCCTGGCTGATTCCTGTCACCTCAGTGCTAACCGTTCTCTCTCTGTCCTCTAGGGGGAGACCACAGAACCTGAGGCCATGTCCCATGAAAAGAGTTTCTTGGTGTCCGGGGACAGCTATCCTCCCCCCAACCCTGGATATCCTGGGGGGCCCCAGCCCTCCTTGCCTCCCTACCCAGGGGCCCCTTACCCACAGCCCCCGTTCCAGCCTTCCCCCTATGGCCAGCCAGGGTATCCCCAGGGCCCCAGCTCCTACCCCCAGGGGGGCTACCCTCAGGGTCCTTACCCCCCAGGAGGCTACCCCCAGGGCCCCTACCCCCCAGGAGGCTACCCTCAGGGCCCCTACCCCCAAGGGGGCTACCCTCAGGGGCCATATCCACAGAGCCCCTTTCCCCCCAACCCCTATGGACAACCACAGGCCTTCCCGGCACAGGATTCTGGCAGTGAGTAGTGGGGCAGGGGCAGGGGAGGGCAGGGGCTCCTGGCACCAGTGAGGGGTGCTGACCCAGCCCGTCGTGCTCCTCAGCACCTCAGCATGGGAACTATCACGAGGAGGGTCCCCCATCTTACTACGACAACCAGGACTTCCCTGCCACCAACTGGGATGACAAGAGCATCCGGCAGGCCTTCATCCGGAAGGTGGGCCACAGGGGCTGGGGAGGGCGTGGGCAGCTGTGCTGGCCGGAGCTCTGAGCCGCCTCCCTCTCCAGGTGTTTCTGGTGCTGACCCTGCAGCTGTCTGTGACTCTGTCCACCGTGGCCGTGTTCACGTTCGTCGGCGAGGTGAAGGGCTTTGTCCGGGAGAACGTCTGGACCTACTACGTCTCCTACGCCGTCTTCTTCATCTCCCTCATTGTCCTCAGCTGCTGTGGGGACTTCCGGCGAAAGCACCCCTGGAACCTCGTTGCACTGGTAACCCCCAGACCCTGAGGCCTTCACACCCCGTGACTCACGCTTTGGAGCGACAGAGGGGGCCGGGGGTGGGGGTGGGGCAGCGGCCGCACACGCTCAAGGCTCCGTCTCCCCGCAGTCGGTCCTGACCGTCAGCCTGTCCTACATGGTGGGCATGATCGCCAGCTTCTACGATACTGAGGCGGTCATCATGGCCGTAGGCATCACCACGACCGTCTGCTTCACGGTGGTCATCTTCTCCATGCAGGTAAGGGGCCCCCCGAGGCAGGGCCGCTGGCCCTGAGGGCCCAGGGCCCTTCCAGGGCTGCGGCACCCAGGCCCCGTGTGCCCCTGTGCCCTCAGACGCGCTACGACTTCACGTCGTGCGTGGGCGTGCTGCTG